TAACTATCTAATATACGTTATGAATTAAACGAAAGTGTTCTCTTACTCTTGCTTCCTTTATCACAGTTATAAAGGAATTTTATTGTCGTTTATTCGTTTTATTAGCTACATAGGTCTTATCTTGTTTCGCGGAAAATTCTCATTACTAATTCATTCTTATATTCGATATTATTCGACTTTAATATTATCATATTTATAATCAGAGTTGCCTATAGTTCTTAAATATCATTAGAAGCATTGAAATATTTAATGATCTCAAAGCATGAACGATTGCTCGGTGATGATGTCTAATCTTAAGCGTTCGTTACGCAGTTATTACAAATCAATTTTACCGGATATTTGTAATTAATCATTTAAGGCATAGTTTGTCATTGGCAACGATGGCCAAGAGAATAAGAACAGTAAGAGTAGTGATTAGCCTCGAGAGATAATAAATTTAAATTTAAAGGAGAGCGTACGTAGATTTTCCGAATTTACGCCAACGCCGGACTAAACGGTAATGCCGTCTGCATAATTAAAAAACAAAACAAAACAAAAAACAAAAAATGCTTTATCCACGTTGCACTATATACCAACAAACAAATACATTGACAAATAGCGGTATATGCCAATAGCTTTAACAGAAGCGGCGCATTAGCTTCCAACAGCTCATCTCGCATTCGATTCCAAAGAACTCTATCGCTCCTCACGCTGCAAAGACTATCGCTATAAAAAGAGATGAGTGCTTTAGCGGCGAAGATCTAGGAGGAGAAGCGAGCCCATTGATCGTAGGCTCTCCGAGCGTGCGAGTAAAATCAGCGGGTACAATGGAGGGCATCGGCAGACAGAGGCCCATGCGATTACTCTAACTTTAACGCCGATTTCGCAACGGCGAGCGTAATACTCGCACATAAAAAGGCCGCGCATCTCGCGGACGCTTTCGAATTGCAGATTAACGAATGCGACGAGCGAAAGGGGGCGAGGACCGATTCCCATTGGAGCGGCCTTTGCGTTCAAGCCCGCGCGCGAAAATCATGTAAGCACATTCCTTTCTAATGTAGTAGCCTCGTACTCACAGGTGAGCCGCGCCAGCGCAGCAGCGGTACGCGGTTACAGTTAAAGGTCAGCTCCCGCTGCACATCTCCTTCTCTTTCTCTTGCATTACTACTACCAATAGCACTACCACTGCTGCTACTTCTTCTGCTGCTGCTGCTGCTGCTGCTGCTGCTGCTGCTGCTGTTGTTGTTGTTGCTGCTGTTGCTGCTGCTCCTGCTTTTGATGCTGTTGCTACCGCCGTCAATTTTTCCTCTTCGTCCTCCTCGTCGTCGTCCTCCTCCTCCTCCTCCTCCTCCTCCTCCTCCTCCTCCTCGTCCTCCTCTCTTATTTTTATCGTTACTCTTTTTCTCCCTCTTCTCATTCTTCTTACGCTTATTCTTGTCCTTTACGTCTTCCTCCCTTCCTCCTCGAGCATAATCACTCGCTTGAACATCTCGTCTAATAGACGGACCGGGCAAATCTGTGAATATGTAGGTGTGTCGGCAGGCGTCTACGTGTGCGCGCAAGCTTTGTTCTCCTCTAATGACTTCCTTTAGAGTCGATGCAGCACAGCACATCAAAAGCCCGGTTCTGAAGTTTCGAAATCCCCGAGTCATTCGTTATGCTTACAGTTTTCCGCTCGAATCACGACTTTTTACAGATTCACCAATCGTTCGTTTATACGTGCGCGCTTCTCTTGCCTTAACTTGCTTTTTACTCCCAATTAAAAGTCCCAGGAAGAGTTTCGCCAATTTTTCGTACATCTCTATGAGTGCCCTCTCTATGGTATATTAATCTCGTAATATAATTGTCGTCTTTAGCTAAGATGTGCCATTGGCAATTAATATCTTCAACTATTTAAACATTTTCGGGCACTATTTTCAGTTATATCTCAGCTATCGCGTCTATTGAATATTATTAATCGATACCTGCACTATGATAAAATCAATTTTTCTCTATTCTAATTAAAGAATTACGATGAATTTCTAATTAAAGTTTAATAAAATAGTTTATTAACGTGTCAAGATGTATATTTTAAAATATTGCTTATATATATATATATATATATATATATATATATATATATATATATATATATATATATATATATATGTTTTTAAAAAATCAATATATATATATATATATATATATATATATATATATTTATATCTTAATGCTTTTAACAATTCAATACGACGTATTCCGAGTTTTAAGATTCAAATGAAAAAACAAAATTCTTTTATCCTTTCTTAAATAAGTCATCAACATAACATTAAATATATTAAAATCACTCTGTTATTGTGGAAAAGTGGCAGGCAATCATTTAAATAATATAGACGTATATATATATATATATATATATATATATAAAGTTTTAGAGTAAATTGAAAATCTTATTTATATCCACAATGCTGAGCCATTGCAATTGAAATGCAGGAAGCGTTAAATGTAAAGAATGAAATATCCACGAAAATGAAAATATCGCATGAATAATGAAAGAAATGGGATTTGAGAGGCGAATGTAAAGAACATGTTATTTAAGGCTTTCATTCGGAGCCTCGTTCAAAGCTACCTTTTCGATTAGTCAATCGATTAGTTATTATAATAACGGTAAACTAATACTTATGACCATTATCAACGGTGCGTATGAGAGCAGACGACGGGTCGAATAAGACGTGGAAACCGCAAAGTCTAGGCTTAAACAGCTAAAGACTAAAGATATCTAAAGACTATTTCAATATAGAGTAAGTGAGCGTTAGAGCGACGGGGAAATTAGAGATAAAAGGATATGACAGAAGCGTTGCAGCCGGGCACCGTCGTCAGAGACTTGAGTCTCGTCGAGCTCTTAGGTCGCGAGACATCTTCACCTCTTTTCTCTCTTGTCTCGCACTCGGCCGCCAAGCCTCGCGAAACACACTCAGATCCTGGTGACCTTTTGTGTGCGCATTCGCTGGCGCGCGAGGAGAAAGAGCATGAGAAGGTTAGGCGATTGGAAAGGATCACGATTCCGTTTTTATTGACTTCTAGGGGAGAGAACGCCGGCGCGTTGCCTAATCCCCGCGGCGCGATAAGGAGAGAGGGAGACACGTCTGTCGGGAGTTGGCCTGCGCTCGCGCGGCATTCCGGCTGCACTCCCATGCACACATAAGCAGTACCAGCAACTCTCCTTTGAACTCCGGTTCTCCTGCTCCGGTGAAGAGGTGCTTGTCTGTCTCTCTTTCTCCACCGTAGTCGTGACCGCCTACCATCGCTGTGTGTCTCTCGAGCGTCGACCACAAACGCGATCGCTTAATTGCGCATTTTCCCTCTCCCACCAGTACGGGCGCGCGTACGCACGCACACACATTATTCATCCATCCGTTCGTTCGTTCGTTCGTTCGTTCGTTCGTTCAACCATCCATCCATCCATCCATCCATCCATCCATCCATCCATCCATCCATCCATCCATCCATCCATCCATCCATCCATCCATCCATCCATCCATCCATCCATCCATCCATCCATCCATCCATCCATCCATCCATCCATCCATCCATCCATCCATCCATCCATCCATCCATCCATCCATCCATCCATCCATCCATCCATCCATCCATCCATCCATCCATCCATCCATCCATCCATCCATCCATCCATCCATCCATCCATCCATCCATCCATCCATCCATCCATCCATCCATCCATCCATCCATCCATCCATCCATCCATCCATCCATCCATCCATCCATCCATCCATCCATCCATCCATCCATCCATCCATCCATCCATCCATCCATCCATCCATCCATCCATCCATCCATCCATCCATCCATCCATCCATCCATCCATCCATCCATCCATCCATCCATCCATCCATCCATCCATCCATCCATCCATCCATCCATCCATCCATCCATCCATCCATCCATCCATCCATCCATCCATCCATCCATCCATCCATCCATCCATCCATCCATCCATCCATTCATTCATTTAGCTATCTAAGTAAATATATCTATGTAAATGTTGATATGTATAGATAGGAATTGGATGCAATGACATGGCTCATCGATTTCACCAATGCGCTCTTATTCTGATGCGAACTAATGACGATCTCTCGATTTCCCGCTCAGTCGTAGGGGTTGTGAAAGTGCCATTCCACTTATGGGAGAATGGAAAATTCCGTTCCTTTGTACGACTTTGTAAAAACTTCCTTTTTTTGGCCCGAAAATCAAAGACTCGTCAAAGGAGGGCTGCAGCCTCTTTCGTTTTACTTTTATTCTATTCGGCACTTTTAAATTTATTTCGTTTATCCCTTATGCAATTATAAATGTGAATTCTATCTAATGATTACAATGTACGTGATCCTTGTGAAATGGAATCACTTTCTACGATCACTATATTTTGTGTCATGCTTTATAAATTAATGTTATTAATAATAGTATTGATAAAGTGTAAATAGTGTTGATAAAAAATAATAGCATCTGGGATAAGAAATTTTGAAGCAACGGAAAGTGACATACTCGATGCGCATCCGCTTTACCATAATTATAGACTTTTTCGCAGCGAGAAATTTGTTAACCGCGAGTTATGTTACATAAATATCAGATTGCATGTATACTAAACGGTAGTGCTTGAATCCTTGCTTACAAATCCATTAGACATTTATATTGCGTAAATTAACCACGTATATTCATTGAAATCCATCGTTGTACTTCATTATTAGGATTGTACGGTTAGCTCGTGCGGTTTGTAGACGCAAAATAGCAAAGAGAACATAAAATAATTAAATCTCGTAGAGAGATAATATAGGATTAGTTCATTGGTCACACCTTACGTTTGCCCTTCCCACGGAAAATAGCGATGCTAGACATTCAAAGCCAGGCGATCCTAGGCCTAAAGCGAGCCTAGAGCAGCGCCAGAA